CAAATTGTTATTCCGAATATGAAACCTTGAATTATATCGAATGTAACTGTGTGTCATAACAATCAATGCAGTTTTAAGCAGTACATAATTCAAACACAAACTGAATTAAATTAAACATCCAGTATTAAAGCATGGTTTTTTATGTTTGTTTTACAGCGATGGGTCCAGCTGTGTTGGGTCTTCTGCTTTCAGCGTCGCTATTGTCCAGTAGTGATGGTGGAAAAGTTCTAGTATTCCCAGTGGATGGAAGTCACTGGCTGAACATGAAAATAATTCTGGAGGCCTTACATTCCCGGGGACATGAAATAACAGTATTTCGCTCCTCAACCAGTTGGTATGTTTCGGAATTTTCCCCCCTTTACACATCCATTACGATCGCCCAGGATCAGCCCCAAAACATCGAGAGCCAAGATGTCATGACGTCTTTTCTGGACAGGTCAATGGAGATCCGTCGACATGAAGGGACACTATGGGCTTTTTTTGAGTTTTACAGGAACTTGTTCGAGTTGTTTGGAGAAAACCAGAAGGATGTGGCAAAGATTGTCGTCAGTATCTTTGAGAATAAAACACTGCTCAGACAGCTAAATGAAACTGGGTATGATCTTTTTCTGACGGACCCTGCTTTCCCAGCAGGAGTTTTGCTGGCTCACTATCTACACCTTCCCTTGGTTTTCAATGTACGCTGGATTTTTAGTGGAGAGGGTCATTTTGCAATAGCCCCTTCTCCACTGTCCTACATTCCTGCAGTGTTTTCCCACTTCTCTGACAAAATGCACTTTTTCCAAAGAGTCCACAATTTCATATTTCACGGCATGTTAGTCTACATGCACTACTTTGTCTCTGATCCACCTTACCAGGCCATCTGTGATAAATACTTTGGAAACAACGTCAACACCTTGTCTCTGATGCAAGCAGCCGATCTCTGGCTAATGCGGGTTGATTTTACCTTTGAGCTCCCTCGACCCACCATGCCCAATGTCATCTATATCGGAGGGTTCCAAGGAGAACCTTCCAAGTCCCTGCCATCAGACTTGGAGGACTTTGTGCAGAGCTCTGGTGAACATGGAGTTATTGTAATGACTCTTGGCACTCTGTTGAGTGACCTCGGCCCCGAGGTTTCAGAAACCTTTGCATCAGCATTTGCCAAACTCCCTCAGAAAGTGGTGTGGAGACATGTCGGTAAACGACCAATTACTTTAGGGAACAACACCATGCTGGTTGAATGGTTACCTCAAAATGATCTCCTTGGCCATGCCAAAACAAAGATATTCATCACACACGGTGGCACAAATGGCGTCTATCAGGCCATCTATCATGGCGTACCAGTTCTAGGTATTCCGCTTATCTTTGACCAGCATGACAACATCATCCGTCTCAAGTCCCGTGGTGCTGCTGAAATAGCTGATGTGACAACAATCACCGTCGACTCCCTAACCAGTGCTTTACAGAACATTTTGGATCCAAATAAGCCGTACAAGCAGAACATGATCAAACTATCACAGCTTCATCATGACAAGCCGATGAAACCCATTGACAGTGCAGTATTTTGGATAGAGTATGTCATGAGGCATCGGGGTGCAGCGCATTTGCGCTCCGAGTCCTACAAGATGGACTGGTTCGCTTATCATTGTCTAGATGTGATGGTGTTCTGTGTTGCCGTTGTGTTGCTTTTCATCTTAATGCTATGGGTTTCATTTCGAAGCTGCATTAGCACCTTTGTAGGACAGAGGAAGTCTAATTTTGCTTAGAGGAAGTGATAATGAAATCAGAGAACAGAATGATAGCTATGCAACATGTTTAAGCTTTTCTTTGAATTAATAAAAATAACCAAAATACTGTTTATTCTAAATTGATGAAAAATGCAAGAAAAAACAAGCTACTTTGTTACTAATTTAACATATTCATTCAATTAACAATTAGATTCTGTGTTAAATGGCTTAGTGTTGTTATATTTAGCCTTCATAATGAAGCTTAAGTAAAAATTCAGACTGAAAGACTGAACTTAGTCACTGTTTGATGCATTGTTGCCACTGTTGGTGGAATGCTTAATCATAAAATCCTTATTTTCTTTGCTTAGGTTATATTCCTCATTTGAATAAAACTCTCAAATTGTCTTCTGTGTGAGTCTTTTATGGTTATATTGACATTTATATTCTGACACATGCAATAAAATCTTAAACTTCAGATACAACCCAAATTTTGATGACCCCTCATTCTTTATGGTCTCTTGAAACATTCAGATACTTCTTTTATTATTGGGGCCGATTTCAACTTTGGCCTAAATGAGGAAATAGGCTTAACACAAAAGGAGCTCAACGCATTTTACAGTCAATACATATAGTAAAGTTAGACTTTGTGATGCATGTTGCTCTCTTCATCTTAATAGCAAAGAATATACTTTTTTTTCTCACATGTTCATCACCTTCAGTCTTGTTTAGATCATTTCATAGTCAGCAGCTTTCTGTTGAATAACATCTCAGACTCCAAGATTCACCCAACTACTGTCAGTGACATTGCTCCTGTTTCTTTAAACCTGGAAATTAAGAAAGAAAATATTCAAAGTAAAGGCTGGTTGTTTAGTACATCATTGCTTAAAGTTGTAGATTTTATTCAATATCTTAGAGAAACATGGGCTTCATATTTAGAATATTATGATCTCCCTGGAGCATAAGCATATTTTCTCTGGGAAACTAGAAAGGCAGTAATAAGAGATTAAATAATCTCAATCTCATCACATAGGAAGAAAATAGAAAATCTAAAGATTCACAAACTAAAGGAAACAGATTGTTGGGAGTCACATTGGAAGAATAAGCAATAAGTAAAATGTGCAAATCAAAAATAGAACAAATATGTTTGTATGTCCTGGGTCCTTTAGGGTGAGTCTGGGGCCGCCCAAACCTGCTATTAATCATATTTTCCTTCTGAAGAAGCTTTGTGAATCATAATAAAAATTGAACTTTATTAATCTCACACTGGAGAAATTCACCTCTGTACTTATCCCATCCCCTGTGGGGAGCAGTGGGCTGCCATTGTGTAACACCCGGGGAGCAGTGTGGGGTTAAGGGTCTTGCTCAGGGACCCAGAGTAAGGGTCTCTGGGAGTTGGGCTGTAACTCAGAAAATCTGGATTCAAAGCACAATGCCCTAGCTCTTTTCCCAAAGCTATATAAGCAAAGCAGAACACAAAAAGAAAGAAATGGAAGCAGTATCAGACCGCTGCAAATCTACAACGCCTAGGGACGCACCTCTTAAGCTCAAAGAGAAGACAGACCAGAGATGCAGCCAAGAGCCTTTATGGAAGACAGCCAGATATCCACACTGCAAAAAATCTAAATCTA